GTGAAAGAGATCACTAAATTTTCCACACATTTAAGAGGTCAGCTAAACTACCAAGTCTTATCAGACATGAGAGGACATGATATGTGGTAAACTGGTAATAGTATTAGTAGGGGCAAGAAGGTAAATGGGAAATGAGTAGTGGACTAGTGGTCTATAAATAGGATGTTAGAAATTATACCGGGTGTTGATTGAATACATATTTTACTGTTTACTCTCTGCTCTCTCTTCTCTCTCTGTTTACCTTTAACAAAGGTATCAGAGCCTTTTGTCCGGTCCATGGCACCACCGCCGGACATTCGATCCTCTGCATGCATTAATGATTTGGAGCATCGACTTGAGCTCCAGCAAGTCTCCCTTGATGCTATTCACTCACGCTTGGACCAACATGCTCTGGCTATCAATGATCTGAAATTATCGGCGAGTAGGTTGGATGAATATCTCCAAGTTATTCTTGCTCAAATCTCCTATGTCTCATCAGATCCGGTCACTGACTCAGGCGAAGGGGGATCTACCTCTATTCTGCTCGTGAATCAGATGAGAAAAATGGAGATGAAGTTAGGAACGATTCGAATCTGTATGAAATCGTTGCAACCGAAAAACAAAATAGCCAACGATGATGATATGAACAACATGACCAATGAGAACCAGGACACGGAAGCTGGTGCAGAAACAATGGTGGAGTCGAAGGCCAACGCAAAAGTTGAGAGAGTTGAAGAAGTTACTGTGATTTCGAAATGCACACTTTCTGTCGATGACAAGCTGAAGGATCTCAACAACGAGAAATTAGACGAAGCTATAAAGGAATCATCTCAACATGACAATGTAGCTGCAGTCGTGAATGGCAAGACTCAAATCGGTGAGGCTAAAGCAAATCAAGTAATACGTGAGAATGACAAGAACATGGGAACAGATCAACAAATGAAAGAACCAACGCCTTTGCTTAGTTGCAGGAGTGATGATGGATTCCGGCATTATGGGATGCTCTACCTTCATCAACGATTCTTCCTAGCGAAACAGTTACTATACCTTCGACGCTGTTGGGCTTTACACAAGAGGGCACGCCCATCCTTCTCTGTTCCCAAGACGTCACAAATGTCTTCTCTGTTTGCTGCTCGAACTACTGATTTTGGGACCTCTAGGTCTTCTTCCATTTTGGGACCGAAGTTCGGCCCCCTTCCACAGTCACTTGGGGATGAGTCCAAGTTGCAAGCCCTTATAGCTCCTTCTGTTTTTTTTCGTTGCCTGCGAACACCTCTGTGTCTGTGTCTTCTATGAATACTCTTCTGCAGGCATCTTGTTCACATCTGTTGAAGGCCACTAAGCAGATTCCATTCATTACAGAGGTCAAAACCTTGAGTCCAGGCCACTGCATAACTGTTGTTTCATTACCGTGCTGTCACACCATTATTGCTGTCCAGCACTGCTGCTGACGAGAAGTTTTTCGTAGGAGGAATGGAGAAACACACTGGCCGACCTATGCATCAACGACCCTATGCGAACTCCAATGCATTCGCCGGAGCTGTTTGCGTTATTCATCAAGTGGAGGGATTCTGATCGAACGGCTAGAAGTGAGTTGTTGATTGATGAAGTCAAAGATCAGCTCAGCAAGGACGGAGATGGTTTTACATTCTGGGTGGGTAGGGCTGGTGCTGAAATCGGGTTGAACCCAAACACTAAAGGGATTAATGTGATGCTGGCTTTTGTTGGATTTACAGGGAGTAAAGAAATGGGCCTGTTGGGGCGTCTTTGGGGTGGGATGTCCATTCCTTGCCCGTCTTATTGAACTCGAAAATCTTTACCCAGGCCAAAGAGCTTCGTTATTCGCCTTTCGAGTTTTTCGCTTCCATCTCAAAGGTGATGTGGTGCGGAAGTTTACTGCAGGTAGAGCCCAAAATTATAGCGATTGAAGCGAAGGAACTTTTTGTTTCTGAGGAATTCCTTGCTTCTATCAAAATTGGGGAAGGTGTGTCTGTGGCTTTGTGCTTGACCATGGCTGTTGCAGCTGCAACTTTCATCATACCATTGGGCCTAATCTTCTTAGCCTTTGTTCTTGTCATTAATCTCATCACCGCGGCAACGTGTTATGTCAATAGGATTGTAACAGAATTGTTATGGCTGGAAGTTGTATGGATTTTTGGTTTGTATGCAACAGTTAAGGGTCGATCATTTACTGATAGTGAAACCTTTCGTATGATGGGTAAGGAGCGTGCACTTGTCACCCGCAATCATGGCTCAACATTCTGGTTGCCTTGGAAGCACTCTAGCTGTGATGGGGAAAAAAAAAAATGCTGCTGGCAATTGGTTGGGAAAGGTGGTTTACTGACGATCGTCTCGTTCACCAATTATGGGCCTTCTACTCGTTTGGTTTTAGCATCAGTGCAACAATGGAATTGGGATTTGAAGGAAAGCTGCAACAAGTTTGGGTTTTCATGTCCTTTTGTTTTTGTATCTCCTTCCAGTCTTAGCAACTTATGATCTTAAAAAAAAAGAAAAAAGAAAAAAGAGTGCCTTACCCCACTTACATGTTTTAATTTCCACTTTTGTACAGATCCTTGAGGACAAGGATCTTTTGTTGGGGGGGAGTATATTGATATGTGGTAAACTGGTAATAGTATTAGTAGGGGCAAGAAGGTAAATGGGAAATGAGTAGTGGACTAGTGGTCTATAAATAGGATGTTAGAAATTATACGGGGTTGATTGAATACATATTTTACTGTTTACTCTCTGCTCTCTCTTCTCTCTCTGTTTACCTTTAACAGGACATGTATACCATGTTCTCTAAAGATTAAGAAGACTGACTTCAGATGTTGATATCCAACAATAACAACTCCACATCATAAAGGACAAATATATATTGAAACAACATAGCCTACTGTAATACCCTCATGAAAATAAAACAAAACGATGATAGATTTGTATCTATCTGTCAATTAGTGTACCCATGCTGACCTAAAATACAGCCGTCAGGTTTCTTGGAGAAACATACATGAGTCCTTCCTTCCTTGTTCCCTGTTATGGTTATAGGAGTTGACAGGTGTGAAACGGCAAGGGGGAAGTGGAAGAGAGATAAGAGAAAAGGAGAGGAAACAGAGAGAAAGGAGAGAGGGGAGGCCGGGAAATAAGAATTCTTATTCAATCAAATCAAAAGCTGAATACAACTGAGAACCCTAACTCTATTTATAGAGCTATAAAAAAAGATAACTAAGATAATTATAAGATAACCTAGATATACTATTATACTGAGATAATGCAGAATACTCAAAGATAAACAACCCAATAAATCCTAATTCTAGTGGATAAACATTAAAAAATAATGTGTTGAATCAGCAAAACAATTTTGCTAGATGTTACTTTCAAATTGAAAAATGCAGCTCTGGGCCGCCACACAAATTAGTAGAAATTCAACTCCTTTGCTCATAACATGGCTAGGTCAATTGCACGTTGTGATTGGTGTAAACAAAGACACTCCTCTTAGAAACTATGGCTCTGAAGCAAGGTAACAAGAGACCCCACGCTGGTGGAGGCATTGAGGCAAGAGAACTTCATCCAAATGCTCGCTTGGCAATGGGTTTGGTGCCATTCAAATGGAAGAAAGGTGCGTAGCTCAGGTGCCTTGCACAGACTAGGTTAATTTTCTATTAATACATAACCTAAAAAAACCCATCCTGAATAGTCAAAACTATCAGGTTTAGTATTTTAAAACAAGACCAGCATTTTCTGACTCACGTCGTTAATATTGCATTGTTTTATCTGATTAGCATACATGAAAAGTTAATTCATATGTCAAAGGTTATCACAATAGTTCGTACATTAGATATTGTCCACTGACACAGCATATTTTCATACTTTATTCCAATCTCATTTCCTTTCTTCACTCAGGCAAGAATTCCTCTAGCACCGCCTGCCTCAAGGTGCTAACATCGTCTATCACCTTTTGAATGTGGCTATCTTGGTTGTAATAAAGACTAAATTATGTGTAAATGCATAAATATGTGCTCTTAATTTAATCTCAGCTCGTCAAAAATAAACTCACCTGCCAATAAAAGCCCTTGACATTCCTTGTGGTAGCCCTCGGGAAATAAACCTGCTAACAGTTGGCCTGGCATTAATTGCTAGGAATTTTACCATCTGAGCTGAGCTAACCAAACCCTGGAAATATAATTTCAGTCAGTAAAGTGATACATCACTAAAAGCCTAAAAGCCTAAAAGCTGCCTGCAGCCCTGAAAACAAGTCTACCATTTCATAAGCTTGGCGTAACCCAGCAGGCAAATCCATCATTGTTTTTTGCCACTCATTTAACACCGCATCCACAAATTTACGGTCAAATAACTGTGACAAGGACACAAAGAGCTTCATTTGTATATGAAATTGTGAAAGAAAGCAAAATAAAGCATATATTATCCAAAAAGATTATTTAGTGAGATTTCTAACCTCTTCAAGGAGTATACGTCTCCTAAACAAGCCACCCTCATCTCCATCATCACCCTCATCAAAGTCATCAAAGTAATCATCATCATCACCACCATCGTCACCTCCATCACCACCACCATGATTGATTTTCTTTCCAATATCTCCTCCTCCTCCCCCAACATCAAGCTGCAAAGTTTAAATAATAGTTCAAACAAGAGAGGGGTTACATTATCAACAACAGTGGATTTATAATTGATTAAACTTAATGTTTATGTCATAGACGTTATAAATTATAATCACAATCATTACTAAGCTGTAGGCAAAGCTTAAACATGCTACTTGATCCAAAGTAATCATATTCTCGAGAAGAAGCAAATCCAAAGAATTAAAAAGATATATATTACGCATCACAAGTGCTGCATTTGGCTTATTTTTTAGTACTCTACCCTATGAACAACTTGATACATCATTCATTCTAACGTAAAGGTCAATGACTCAGCACAATAGCCTTGTAAACCCCACACACACACACACACACACACAGAGCAATTAATCAGACTTCCTGAAAAATGCATTGCCCCGAAGGTATATATTTTATCGAGAAATTTTTTTTTTTTTTAAAAAAAAGGTTAACTTGAATAATCACACCTATTCAAAAATTAAGATGATAACCAGAACTAGTCCCTAAATTGGAGATTTAAGTATCGCATACATGGTCGGCAAGCAACCATAACTTATTTAACCTTCGTTGTCAGCAGTGTAGAAATGTAATAAGGGACACTAGTTAGCAGTTGAACGCAAGTATTGCTTCGTTTCAGCATTCAATTTCTATTTGTATCTACGATGTTCACCGTCGCTGCTCTTCCCCCCAACCCCCCCCCCCAAAAAAAAAAACCCCACAAAGAAAAGGGGAGGCACCCTAAGAAACAAAAATATTTTTGCCACTGTCAGACGGTCAAGGTGTGCAAAGGCATGGTCCTCATTCTACTGACCATTGTATAGAGCAGAAACAGCTAATTGACCATTCATTCTTCCACTCCCTTACATTCTCATAAAAATTGTCAAAAAAATAACCACAGGGTATTAACCCGAAGTCTTCAACTCAACGTTTGGACACTAACCTGAGGACTAGACTTGGTTTGCTTCTGCGACAAATCGAGTTTGGATTTTTCTAATGTCACGGCACCAAGCGAACTGTATTTTCCCTTCATTACGGGACCCAAATTCATTGAAGAGGATGAAGGCAGCGAAGAATCGGAAGTACCGGGAGCATCTGGCAAGCTAAAGCAACGTTCCAATAAAGCCGCCGAACCATTCTCCACCTCAGAGGTAGCCGAGGCTTTGACCACCAAAAATCGTCGCCTAAGCTTGAAGCCGGCGGGCTTTATAACTAGCTGGAGAGAACCGTGTTTCGGGGTCGGCAACGAGGGATTCGGCGGCAAGGCCTTTGTGGCGGCGTGAGAGTTCATGGGCATGATTTGAGCCGTTTGGAACACCGCAAGTGACATTTGGGAGGGCTTATCCGTTTGGATTGACGGAAAATTGGAGTAGGATTTTCTCAGAAAATTTTCATCGGCGAAGAGGCCTTGATGGAATCGAGTTATCCCTCTCTAAAGACGAAGAATTTAGAGAGAGAAATCCAAAGAGAAGGAAAGAGTGTTGGGTGAGAGGGATTTTGATGGAGTGGAAGACAGCCGACTAGGCGACAACCCAATCCGAAAGCCTTTCCCGTATGGAGTAACCAGGCGAGTTGACTCGGCCGACCTAAAACCTGAGGACTCGGTTAGCCTCGTCGAAATCGTACCGGAGGTTAATGAATTGAAATGAACAGAAAAAATATATAAATTTTAATGAAAAAAGCAAAATACTTACTGTAAAATGTTAATGATAGCTTAGCAGCTTGCAATAATAAAATTTTAAAGTAAAAAATGACAACTCCTTAATTTGTTATTGAGGCTTTTTGATAGTTTTTTTTTCATAGAACTCTATTACAATTCTCCCATTTTAATTTGTTGAGTTAAAGAATTACATTTTGACCAAAGAAGTTAAAGAATTACATAACTTGATTTATTTTAAGTAAAAAAACTTTTAAAAAAAATAAGAACTGACGTAGTATTTTAAATAAAAAAGAGTTTAAGTAGAGAAGCTTAATTTCTTGTTGTCTTATTTACTGATTTATTGATTATTTAAATAAATTAGTTAAAATCATTAATTTTATTAATTAGTGACTCCAATGCATGATTTCTTGGATGGGATCGACCGAGCCAATCATCGACAAATGAATCTTTCAATCCATTCTTATGAGCTAAATCATTCTGGAAAATTGAGTCATCATGATTGGTGAACCAGTTTAAACTGACTAATTGAATCAAGACTCGAAATTAGTTTTTCAAAAGTGATTTTTATGATATACTACTAAGGGTCTGTTTGGGTATCCCAAAACCGTGGTTTCAGAAGCACTTTTCCGCAAAATGAGATAATCTCCTCTACATATTTACTTCGTAATCCGTAAAAGCACTTCTGAAACTATGGTTTGGTTTCTATCCAAACACACCTTAAAACGTGAATATGTGGCGCGAAAAAAAAAATTTCAAGTGATTCTAATAGTTGTCAAACTCCCCCTATCATGAACCATAGCAATTTTACAACAGTATATGCCCTCATAGATTCTATTACCTCCTGGTTCTTATTGGTCCTAAATATAAGACCTTAATCCACTTTATCTCTCATGTTTATTTATATTTTAAATGTCAAGAGAGCTTATCCGCATGCAATCTGAAGTTTCTATAGGCAATATAAAATTTAGTCTAATTAGGACTGTTCATGGGATAGATCAGAATTGAGACAGTTTCATCCCGATAAACAGTAACCGGATAACTTTTTTGTCCCTTGTCCTGGTCAGGACAGGGTCGGGACGTTTCGATTTATTTATTTTTATTTTTTTGAGTTGTTGGGTGCAATAAAATTTGATTTTTTTTTTCTAATTGCAGTTTTTTGGGTTTAGCTCTTGTAAAAGTATCTTTTTGTTTTCTATTTTATTTCTTTGGACACCATTAAACAAAAGCCCAAAATATTACATATAATAGTCATTAAAAACTCTAATAAAAGCTTTGAACACAATAAAAACTTGTTGAAAATTTTAATAATCAATAGTCTCAAATCATCAACAAATATAGAAGTTCTAAATAAATGGGTCCATAGTTCCATACAATAGTTTCAGATCTTAAAAAAAAAATTAAAAAAATGATATTATATAAACGAAGAATTACAATGAGGTCCCAAGTAAGGAAAATAATTGAAAAACAAGTCCCAGAGGTTGTCATTCTTACTATAGGACATGTCATTATAGGCTGTTGAGGTTATTATTGGGATTTTTTAGTAATTATTTCTCTTATGTGGAACTTGATTGTAATTCCCCCTTATATAAATATGATAAAAATTTAAAAAAAATAAAAGGGACTGGGACGGGACGACCCCCTCCCATGTCCTATCCCATTCCATCCCATCTCAATCTGTCCTGTTTCGAAAAATTTCGGAACAGGCCCGTCCCATCCCAGTAAGGCCAGGACCAGAACAGGCTGATGGGGACAAGCTGGTGTTGAACACTCCTAAGTCTAATTGTTATATCTCATATTCCTAATTTAATGAAAAATTAGTTAATGATAAGATGGCACATTACCTTTTAATTTAATTAGTTATGATAAAATTATGATGTAAAACTTTACATGCACAAATATTCCCTTTGTACTTTTATTCCTTTCTTCTGCTTGCTTCTTCTTCAATGGTGTTCTTTTTTGGCTTTAACTAAGCTTTATTCAATTATGTTCTCTATATTGTTCCTATTTATTTTCATTTCACTAGAAACTGTTAAATTATCTTGTAATGACGTTCTATAATAGCTAGTTTATTGGGAGAATTACAATGAGGTCCTAATAGAGAAAAATACTAAGAAGTCCCAGTAACAACCTAAACAGCTTATAATGACAGTTTCAAAATAGAAAATGACAACTTTTAGGATTTGTTATAATAATTTTTTTTTAACATCATTATAATTCTCCCTAGTTTACTTACTAGGACCTAACACCAAAAAACCCTGTCAAATCCTAGTGTTCCTAGCTAGGTCATTCTAAGGTTGGTTGATGGATCAATCTGATTTGGCCAGTGCCCCGCTAATAGCAGATGATAAATTATAAAGGACAAGGAAAGTCATATTGTGTGTGTGTTTTTTCCCTCATTACAAGTATCCTCTTAATGAAAATAATCTTGTTCGAAGTACTATTAGGTATTAAATGTAGGTACCTTTACTAACAGGAATTCGAATATTAGTTCATTATATTATGATAGATTAATTCTTTCCGCTAGACCTAACTCTATTGACAGAAAATCATATTGTTAGCTAGTTAATTAATAAAAGTATATCTGTATGAAATTTTAAGTTATTTAGACAATATATAGATTTGATGAGGATGATTTATGAATTATGAATATTTTATTAAAATTTTCATGTTTGGTATTCGTATTGATTTATTATAGCATAGTATTAAATCCAACTCGGACAATGAATCAAACCAATGAACCAATTAATCTCTTAATCAATCTAGTCAAGAGTTTTATACGGATTGATTGGATTATATAAATATATATATATATATATATATTTTCCTTATTGAGCCTAAAACTACATTGTTTTTAGTTTAAAAGGAAAAAAATTATAGTCTATCATATTTATACTTTTATTACTTCATTTGTAGTTTGTACTACTCCTCCAGTCCTAAATATAAGGCCCTTATATAGGGCTTTATATTTAGGACCGAAGGAGTATATGAATATTTTATTTACTTGTAAATTAATATCCATTTTTATTTAGAAATTTTAATTATGATCGATTTGATTCTGATTTGAACCACTGTCTCTGCTTATTCATTTACCAATCTATTCAATACCTTGATTTATGATTTGATTAATTTTAATTTTTATGTATTCTTATATATACATATATATGATGATTATTTGACTATGTTTGATTTAAGTAGAGTTGGGCCTACTTAGAATTTGGAAGTAGTTCTCTTAAACACATGTTTTTGCATTTAGTGCTTGTTTAAAATGATAAATAAGTTTTTAAAAACGACTTTTCAATGAGAATTTTATCTCAAACTTACGTGAATATGCATGTTTAAGGTGGGAAAGAAGCTTCCCAGCTACGTACGAATATGATCACACGTGATATCTTCTCATGGCATGCATGCTCAATTCCTGGAAGAAACCCAAATCACTTCAATAACTTCGAACTGTCTTTCAAGAAAGCTTTACGTACCATGTATGTTTCATGAAGCTTGAAACACCCAACAGTAATGGAAAAGAATCACTTCCTTTTGGCCCCAAAGCCATCCCTTTCATCTCCTTCAACCTCCGCTTTCTTCTTCGCCTGAAGCCCTCGTCAATCAATTTGCAGTATGATCATTATAAATACTCCCGTCTTCTTCCTCAACACTCAAAATCTCTGCACCCTCAAAGAAGCTCGACAATAATATTATAATTGCAATTAATCTATGGATATGAGTGGTGATCGTCTTCGCGTTGTCGTCAATGGTGTTCAAAGAACCAGAACTTTCCACTATTTCTGGTGCCAAACTTGCCAGCGCGCTGTCAGAATCCCCTCCTCTGCAAACCCTAATTTCTCTTTCTGCCCCTTTTGCTCCCGTCAATTACACCTCGAACTCGATATCACGAGGCCCAGGCTTCTCATGAATAATCCTCCTAATTTACAGCCTTCACCTGCTGCTCAATTGATCAACGGATTGGCTTTCATTCTGGATCCATCCATGAGAGAGAGAAACACTCGATTCGATCGAACAATTCGATGGACTGAAGAAACCGAAGAAGGACCGAATTCTCAGACCTGGATGACTCTCCGATTCGTGAGACCAACTCGTCCACAACTACACCTTCCCGGAGCCACCGAAGAAAACAGGCCGCCTCCGGCAGCAGACTCCGCCATCGAAGGGTTGCCGACGGTGAAAGTGACGGAAACACAATTGGCGACCGATCCGAATTGCGCGATTTGCAAAGACGAGTTTCAGATTGATATGGAAGTGAAGGAGTTACCGTGCAAGCATTTCTATCATTCGGATTGTATTACTCCTTGGCTTCGCATTCACAATACGTGCCCTATCTGCCGCCATGAGCTGCGAAGTGCTTCATCTTCTTCTTCATATTCAAATTTCCGTCGAGATTTCTCACATTTCGACTATCGATATGGATTTAGGTTTGAAGATGCTGCAGAAGGTTTGAATTGGATTTGGAGCCAGCTTGTTTCGTTCCGACCTGTGCGTGCAATTGTAGAATGGGCTGAGAGATTTTTGTTTGATTTCCCGGAAAATCATGATCGAGGAGGTAAGCTTCTGTTATAAACCCTTTGAAGCACCAAATACGCCAACATATCAGTGATACTGAACTTTTATTCTACTGAACTTTTATAATTCATTTACCACTTGTTTTGATGGAACTAAAAAAAATTTTAAATTTCACCAAATTTTTTTTTTTAATTTTATTAATTCTATTCTGAAATTTAATAACTTTTCAACTTTACTCACATTTAATATATACAAATTTTAATGAAAGAACAATTTTATATATCAATACATGAAATGCAAAATAATATATTTAAATGAAAATTTTGATGATGTAATTTATAAATAGAATGTAAAAATTCTCTCTCTAACATATAAATAGGATCATAAAAGTATATTGTTTTGCCAAAAAAATAATTAATAATATAGTGATATTAATTCTTAATAATGTGCATAGTGCTTTGGACTATTGGTGTCTGTGAAAGACACAAATATGTTTTCCAACTAAAAAATCTTGCAAGTGATAAAGTTAAGAAATTTCTATAAAAATGTGTAATTATTTGCAATCACGTATTGTCAAAACATATTAAAATGTTTTTACCGAACCTGATTTGAAATTTATTAATTTCAAACTTCTTTTTGTAGGATTCTCCCGTGAACAAATGCATAAATATAAAAGTTGATAAATATAGAAAAAAACAAATATGAAAAATAAAAATCATTCCCACTGAGTTTTCAATATTTTGAACACACTTTTTAGAGATGAATAGATAGGTAGGTATGTGAATAGGGGCATTTTGGGTAATTAACATTTTTCTGAAATGTCACTAAATGACCAAAGTTTACAATTGATAATTTCATAATTTCAGGGTACTAAAGTGTGATTTTATATCTACATTTAGTCCCAGAAATGTGTTAAAGCAATGGGTTGGTAGGCTTTAGAAAGAGCTTAACAAAAAGGTTTGTGAGAATTATGCAGGTGGCCCGTGGTGGCGCTCATTGTTCATGTTATAGTCTGATATCATCTGATCTCATGCGTTAAACTTGTTTCATTCATATGGCTGCAACAAGAAGGTAACATTCTCCTATTTATACACTACATAGAATGGTTTCAGCATTTCTTCAACTAACCAAACCTACTAGGCTGCTACTGTAGTTCAATATCGTGGGAAGCCCAATTTCCCAAAAACAAAAAGAGAGGAAAAGTCTGCATTTCTTATACCTTGTTTTAGCTTTTGTGTCAAGTTTCTTTCCTTAGAAGATAATGGGAAAGAGGATTTGGAACAGTCCGCCTGCTGAGGTGTTGGCTATTCTACAGGAAGATTTGTTGGGCCTGGGTAGCTATCGTAGAGTGTTGATCTAGCTGGGGTTTATCCCCCTGTGTTCCCCCAAAAAAAAAGGTAATGGACTAAATTGGAGAAACATAGAAAAATTAAATAAGCTAAGTTTCGTCTAAGTCCATCTTTTCTCTAGCTGGAGGCTCTCCTGTCTCGCTCCTCCAATTTCTTTTTCACCGACGCCAAAGCTTATACATGTGAAAATAGGACCCGATTGTGGTCCTGCAATTATGCAATTTCTCTAGTTTGTTTTGTGTGTGATCAAACGTTACATAGTAAAAAAGTAGATTTATGCGCTCATGTAATAGCATAGTAGTAGAGGTAAAAAAGCCCGCACAATTATGGAACTGCATTACTCCAAAAGATTTGGTTCATTCCCCTCATCTCTCTCTAACTTATGAGTTATGACGTGACGTTATGTGTTGAAGTTGAAGCAGCAGTTGAGGCAGTACGCAATCTTAGATTGGAGGAATGCAAGATGCAGATTGTATAGTTTCGCAAGAAATTGAAGAAGCAAAACACAGGGAATACAAATTTCAAGGCCACTAAAGCTTAGGCATAACACATAATATTATAACAGTTGCTGCATGCCGTACATAATTGTATACACACCATACACAGTCCACAGCATACACACACAACATATTTACTGTACTGTACTTCTGCTTTTCTTCTTTTCCCATTTTACTATCTACTACAAGATATATACAAGATTTTATTGTTGTTTCATCTCACTTCATAAAATCCTTCGACAATTTTCATTTTGCCAAATTTTTAATTATTCATTTTCCTTTTGGATAAATTAGTCTGTACCACAAAAATACTAAATATGTTTTTAGAAATATGTTGACGTTGATCAACAAAGAAACAATTTGGGATTGGCTTGAAAAATTGTTTTCATACTTCTCATATATTTATATTGTACATCGCAAAATTACGTCCAAGCCCTGAGTTTCAGCGTGTCTTGAAATTATAGATCTAGTATGTCTTGTGGATAGAAAGAAGGGAGAAGTATAGTGCGATGAACACGACTTTTTTCTGGATATTTGCTGGAGAAGTTTTGACAGTTAAACAGTAGAGTCTGATGCGCAAAGAACCCATAATACTTGGCATATCATACACTTGAATGGATACAAAAGACGGTTCTTCTCGCATCTGGAAGCCACTCTTTGCTCTTAATGAGTGGTGCTGTTAGTTTTGATTTACAAAAAAAACAAGCAATAAAACCTTATGAAGAAACATATAAGCACATCACTTCTTTTGAGACCCACTCTGACATGGTTATATATTTCCCCATACTGACTTAGTTTACTTACCTTTTATAGATGAAATCTACCATCTACCATTCTCTCTATGTGATAACTAAACGGGAGGCCTGCCAACTTTTTGGCTTTGACCCTTTTTATCCGCTTCTGATTTAAAAGGAGCTTTCAAAGCGCCATTACGCTGTTGTCTCCCTGCCGGGATTTGCAGATCCTTCATTTGGCAATTTCTCCATATCTTTTACACTCTGATATCATGGAGAAAGACAAAAGAGACAGTACACAGATAGCATGTAAAATACCAAGATCAAGATTTCCCCAAGAGAATCACCACACGCTGATGCTGCACCAAAGAGAGAAAGAACAGTGTGCTTATGTACTGAGAGAATATAGAAATCAAAGTTTTAAGATAACAAAGCAATACGGCCTGAATAATATGATTTTACTCCGGCAAGAGAGAGAGAGAGAGAGAGAGAGAGATGATTTTATTCATGAACAGACGAATTTCATAATACTATTAATGTTTTTAACCATTACCAATTAGTCCTGACCCTCATCAGCAACTTCACAGGCACCAAATGCAATAAAGAAAATAGGCGAGAGAAAATGTGCAACATTTTTTTTAATACCCTTTTTTAAAATAGGGGCAAATGTAAAACAATTTATCAATTCAATACATTTCTTGATATGTAAAGAGACTTATATAGAGGAACAGAGTGGTAATCAATGTAACATGTAAGATGCCTCTACTTTAATGTTTGATGCAAGCTTTTTGTCTAAGGGGGGCTTCTTGAATCCTTTTTAATTAACATCTGCATTATACCAATTAAAAATCACTTATAATTGTCCTTAGGGGACAAATCAATTTAGCATCTAGAGACTCCTTTTATATTCTTCTACACTATTACCCAGTGACGAAGCAAATCTTGATTTAAGTTGCCTAGTTGGTAGAACGAAAGCGCATCAGAAGGAGAAGCAACGTTCCATCATAAACAATGTAACCCTCAAAAACAAAAATGTCTCCCCCATCTCGGATATGCAAATAAATGACTATGCGTATACAATAATGTCACTACTGATGAAGTAAAGAAAAATTAGTAATCACTCTGACGTGATGTTCAGCCGCGGGGATAGCAGCTAGAGACTAACAAATAGTAAAGTATTTATAAGAATCTTTAAAATGTCGGAAGCATCAGGTAAATCTGATCATTAGTGCCGATTGGAGCAAAGCATAAAAAGTGATAGGAAATATCCTACTAGAGAATATGAACTTACATGAAGATAAGGAAGCAAGTGACCGATTTATTGGCTCCACAGCTTTTTCTTTGCCGAGGCCAGGTCTGGAGCCATGGGTTATAGGTGCCTGATCTGGGGATATCCCAGACGTAGGGTTCACAAAATCTGAGGGAGGAGGAGCAGCAGATTTAAAGGATGGGTTAGAATAAGATTTTGGGGATGATCTCGGAGGATATGAGAAGCCACTGTATGGACAAGGATCAGGTGGATGCCCCGTCTCAATAGAAGGCGCAGGTGATGACGCTTGACAGTCAAAACATGGGGATCGGTTAGCAGAAGTTGGGGATACTGGTAAGTGAGAAGGAGAATGATATGGTGAAATTGAAGGTTCAGCAGCATCAACGGGCTGTGGGGATGGAGCAGGGGCGGAAGATGGTGCCTCTCCATGAAACATGCCCTTAAAATAAGATGATAATCTGACTTCTTTGACTTTGCCAAAGTTTGAGTTCCCACGGCCAAGATTTTTCTCGGTGAAGCCTGATATTATTCTAGCCAATTCAAGGTATCTCTGAGGTGGAATTACTCCAAACGTTGACGTGACTGAAACCTGCACTGTCACTGGGGGAGCTACTGTTGAGCCAATTTCATTTGATAATTGAACGTAAACATTCTGCATGAAAAAGTAGAAACAGGATCAAAGACAGGCAACTCATAATATAAGCATTCCTTGTCTTCAACAAAAAATATTTTATATTATAAATTCTTCTCAATAACTAATCTCCCAGTCTATGTTTTCTACATTAATTTAGAGTTTTGCCTCGTCCTTAAATGAATATTTCAATATATATTGCATATCAACAAATATCCAACAATAAAAAGGCTATAGTGGTACAACCCACTGATAATCATAAGGAAATCAGAAATCTATATGCACTTTCAAAACCAAATTGCATTTCCTACTACCCAAAATAAAGAATGAAATGGATAGTAAGACTATACCTCATCGGATCTTAGATCCAAGTCCAATCTCAGCTCATTCTTGAAGTCATCAAAACCATCCAGTATTTCATTTATTGAACTATTGAGAGTAAAATTAAACAGAATCTCAGGCATCTGAATAATAGGACCCAGCTGCACAGGTATTACAGATATGCCTCCAGGTACTGTTGCAATCTCAAACATAGACGCATTCCCAAATATTGATGTTGTCAAAGTTAGATTAGATTGTTTGAGGAACAGTTCAACCAATGATGACCTCAGCAGACTCAAGTACACTGAGTTTATTGGAACATTCAGTGGCTTAGAGAGAACACCAAACGTTACATTTGCGAAGTTAGGTGTACCACTTTTGTGTATGGATAAAATAGCTACCTGTTAGGAGCAAGAAGCCTAAAAGTCATTTTCTGTATTTGAACCAAGACTGAAAAAAATGAGAGGAGAAGCTTGAGGACAAACCTCTGTATTTGGGACACCTATTTCACTGTATATATCATATTCTAGTCTTTTAATGTACGGAATCAGCTGTGAAACTGGCTTTTCCAGTTTGAAGGATGCTTGAACAGTAGCTGAAATCCACAAAAGAAAAGCATTAAGAAACTTATAAAAAAAGTATAATTAGAAAATGATAAAGGAGAGGTCTTAGGAAAGAGTTGGAGAAAAGAGTTAAAAGTGTTTTGGCAAACCACATCATTGCACAGCATAAAATACATGAACAAAAAAGGACTTTGCTTTCACCATTACATGATTGCCTTAGAAGGGTTTATTCCTGTTGGAGATAGTAACACACCCAACCCATCAGAGGATTGGCCCATAAATTATTTTACTTCCGACTTCAACAACCTGGTTTTAAAATCTCGGGCAAGTGGGAATAGTCTTTTGTATATAAACAAAGAATACACGGGAACAGTAGTATTTGAGGATCCCCGTATAACAGTTCCAATAGTCACCACCCCAAAAATGCACAGTAATTCAAAAGCCATCCTTATTGAACAAACACCACGAAGCTATTTTACAACAGTGAGCAGCTAAGTACAAAATATTCAAATTCATTAAATTAATTATTGATGAGTGAAGCTGTCCAGCCTCTATACTGATCGGCAGCATTATGCCCTCATTATTTTGTCAGGCTAAATAGACAAATACTTAGGCAACAGACCTGCCCAGCGTAGCCAAGGATCTAGGAGAATCTAATCTAGGTTTAATCCTCTAAAATCAGAACAGAGAGGTGCGACTGAGTCCTAGGCTAAATAGGAATAATTAAAGGAATTAAAAATAAGATAAATAAAAAGGGCTTACGTGAGAGAAAAGTCCCTGCCATGTTCAGCGACTTTCAACCACAAGTGATAACTCATTTAAATCAGTAACTATTAACAGATTCAGCATAAAATTATATACTAATTATAAAAAACTGCTCAGATGGTCATCTGAAAAGTAAAAAGACAAAGTTATTCAAGCTTCTGGAACATGGTAAAAAATGAAAGCCACGTCATGACTGAAAAGGCCACAGCAAGACCGTTCAAATGACAATGAATGCCTAAGATTCATGTCAAAAAGGGTAGAAGCAAAAATAATAGCAAAAAAAATGTCAGTCTGGCAAGATCAAGAAGTTATACTCTGCAAAACTTTATCATATTCTTATCTGAACTGCAGAATTAAATCTCAAAAACATAGAAATTTACAATAGACTTGAGTTGTGCGTTATTGCAGAGATAAGCTGCAGCATTCATCAGCATCACAGGTATAATCATTTATTCATGTTTCATGAGTGTTGATAATAAGTGCAGTAGGATCTCCGACAGCTCCTTTCCTTCTTTAGTTATCAGCAGTAGTCAACTCTTTATTGCTATCAATTCTCCGTTGTTTCCTTTTCTAATTTGTCATCGATTGTATGTATTTCCTTCCTTTTCTCTGTTGCGAGATTCTCAGGAACTCCATAGCATTTCCTCTGCCTTGAATTTTGAATATATGTACTCGTTTCATTTGGATAAACACAGAGCCTCAAACCATTAATTATATTGAAATATTTTGAAATAAGCATTAACCACCAGTCCAATTAGTCCTCACAGGCCTCAGAACAAAGGCAACTACAGAGACTAATTAGCATTATTCAATGGCAACACAATAAACATAGGGACCCCTCATCATTAGCAACTCTTAGCATATGGTGTTGTACTCGACCTCCTCTATATGTCTTTGAAATTTTTAAGTTAGATT